CCACAGTGTAGCAGGTAGGGCTCCTTCGTGCTGGGATACGTGGTTCCAGGAGTTTGTCAGTTCACACAGTTGGAACTCTTCCTACTTTGTGCAAAGTATTATGTGAAGCGCTTTGCACACATTATCCCATTTCATGTTCACATGAAGTGGTTGGTTCTAATCCCTGGTTTAGCTATAATAGGGAGGTTGTCAAAGCTGGGATCCAGGTGCAGGTCTGGCTGCTCCAGGATGCACACCCTTGATCACTCAGTGCCGTTGCTTCATGGGAGGGTCAGGGCTGGAAAACAGTTCATTCCCTGCCTCCACATCCAGTCCAGAGACTCTGTGCTTGCAGCAAAGCTATGTGGCAGGCGAGGAGTGACCCAGAAGTGGGGGCTGGGCTTTTTGTTGTTGTTGTCCCTAACTGGTGTCCTGGCCTGGCCTGGCTTTGCTAGTTCCCCTGGACCTCAGTTCTCTTCTTTATGAAATGAGAGAAAAGGGTTGGCCTCATTCTCAGAGAACAATGCTGTGTTGTTTGTTATGGTCTCTTTTGAACGAGTTGGGCCCATAGCCTCGGGTTTTAGGAACAACTCAGGCTACTCTTAGCCTGCCGAGCCCCACCCTAGCCAAGCTCTTTCTCTGTGTGTAACCATTTGGTGAGAAAGTTTTTTAATATATATATATTTTAATTTTATGGGTATGGGTGTTTTGCCTGCAGGTATTTATATCACCATATATGTGCCTATGGAGGCCAGAAGAGGTTGTCAGGCTGTTGTGAGCTGCCATGTGAGTGTTGGTTTGAACCCAGATCCCCTGCAGGAGCAGCCAGTGCTCTTAACCACTGAGCCATCTCTCCTGGCCTGAGAAACATTTTCTTAAAATTCATCTATATTTTCTCTCTTTGTTTCTATTCCCCCTGAAATCTGACCCTTTGTGAATTACTTGTCGGAATAATTATAGTCAGGGATGTACAAGTTTTGGGAAATGGATAATGCCATCACTAATGGTTCATTACTTTTAAAGACAGTTAGGCCTGAGGGCATTTGGGTCGAATTCTATGGGCTCAGCTCTGTGCTAGGCATTGTACTGCAAACTGGGGACAGCTGGTAGACGGGGAGGAGGTGTGCCATTTAGTCACCCTGTCCTCAGGCTGCTTCCCTTCCTGGAGCAGGGTCTCCATCTCAGCCTCCAGTAAAGTCATCTGGAGGAGACTTCAGTGACCCAGCCAGCTACTGGGGGTACACAGTCAGTAGGAGAGCCATTGATCTAGAGCAGTGGTTCTCAACCTTCTTAATGCTGTGACCCTTTAATACAGTTCCTCATGTTGTGATGACCCACAACCATATAATTATTCTCATTTTATATATTCATAACTGTAATTTTTCTTCTGTAATGAGTCGTAATGTAAATATCTGATATGCTGGATGGTCTTAGGTTTCTGTGAGAGGGTTGTTTAACCTGCAAAGGGATCGTGACCCACAGGTTGAGATCCGCTGGTCTGGGGCCTTTTTCACGACTTCATGATGCTGTGAACCACTTTGAATTGCATCTGAAGGCAGAACCCAATCCAGAGGGTGTGAGCTGGAGGAGACCGACTCCTAAGGAGTATGCCATGTGCCTAGTTTCTGGGTAAGAGGCTTTCAGAGGCAGGATTGTAAAATCTCCAGTCGTGAAGGTGTGTAGCAAGGACTGGCACCATCACCAGTACCTGAGGATCAAGGATTAGGAAGCCACAAGGGAGGACTTGTAGAAGGTGGCCATTTGGACAGGGTGCTGGAACTGATGAACAGCAAAGGGGCAGAGTCGTCATGGTTTCAAGGGGGTGGGTGAGAGGTGCATGATTTGTACAGGGAGAAGTGTGGACACCACCGTGGAACTGGCCCACCGTCCTCCAAGAACAGAAGTTCCATAAGGTGGCTGCTGCGTGAGTGAGCTCAGGGAAAGGTGCCACACAGCCTCTTAACACATATGTTGCTTTTTCGCATGGTGGCCCTTAGCCACAGTTGGGCGAGGCCTGTGTTCAAATGTCAGTGCAAAGGAGAACCCTCAGTTTCTGTGGGTTTGGTAGTCCTGATCTTCTCTGTTCTGCACCGAAGGGCCACACTCTAGTGTGGCTGAGCTGAGGGAAACTGAGTCATTCTTCAGATGAAAAGATCACAGGGGAGAAGCCTCCACTGAGATTTTGAGCTTGATTAAAAAGAGGGTGTGACCTGTAGTGACCTCCTTGGTGAGGCAGCATTGTCACAGGAAGCATAAACCAAACTCACCCAGGCCTCCCCCACTCCTGGCAAGCAGCGTAGAACAGAAAGCACACAGGGATCCCTACCAGCTGGGGGCAGGGGCGGGGCTGGTAACCTTCTGGCATCCTCTCACCCCTACACCTCCTGTTCTGCTGGTGGATTCGGCCTGATGCTTCCCTGCAGGGGTGGTGGACGAAACCCTTCCTTCATGATTCACCTCTTCCAGAAGCCGCTCGGAGATTGACCTGTTGGGGTGCCTGTGCTGCCATGTTCAGCTGCGCTGACTGTGTCATTGGAGGGCAGCATTGGGGCTGCCCTTCCAGGACTCTTGGATCTGTGTGAACCCCTCTTCTGTTTGTTTGATCATCTTTGTATTTGTGGTGCCCTCAAGGCAGCTGCAGGCGACTGGGGTCTTGCTCAGGCCCAGCGACTTGCCTAGCAACCCTGAGGTCATGAATAAAGAAAGCTGGGGAGGAAGAAGGGTGAAGAATCACTGGGCCAGAAGGGGGCTGCGGGCTGAGAGTGGGACTCCAGAGCTCTCCAGGGGCCGTGGGCTGGGAGTGGGACTCCAGAGCTCTCCAGGGGCCGTGGGCTGGGAGTGGGACTCCAGAGCTCTCCAGGGGCCGTGGGCTGGGAGGGAGACGCCAGAGCTCTCCAGGGGCCGTGGGCTGGGAGTGGGACTCCAGAGCTCTCATGCTGGACGGTTGCTGTTGAATTGCTTGCACTGCTGTGAGTGGTGGAGCGGGTGGCTATTTATAGCCCTGAGAATTTTGCAATGTTATTGAATTGCTTCGACCTAATTTCCCACTTCCTTTCTGAAATGGAAATGAAGAGAGTAAGCAGACATGTGCTAGAGGGTTTCCCTACAAGGAGCTCCTTCATCCCTGAGTGTGCGTTGTCTGGGAAGTCTTGCTCCGGTCTCCCTCCTTGTGGTCCTGGGGGAAGGAGAAGAGATGTTTTCCCCTAGCTAGATTCCCCAGTAAGGCTTGTTCTAAGTTCATTCTGAAAACAGGATTGTGTGGGGATATTGTGTTGCAAGGCTTCTGGACTTGATGGAAACAGTTCCTGCCTGTTGGGAGCCAGCTCTAGTTAGTAGGAGTGGAAGAAGCCAGAGCCACAGGGTTTTGGTGTACAGAGGTCCTTTTCGGTAGGAGGAGCTAGTGAAGAAATCTGTGGAGACACAATGTGGGAACAGTGCACACACAATGAAGAATACTACAAAGGGGGGGTGATGTCTCAGCTGGGCTTTGAAGCTTGGATAGGAGCTCTCTGACAGCCAGTAGAAGGGACTTTGCAAAGGTGCAGGAGAAACGAGGGAACTTGGCCACGAGCAGCCAGGAAGGGTCTGCCTATACTGGCCCGGCACCGTGGGAGTGTGGGCAACCTTCTGTAGACCATGGAGGACCATTTCCTGTAGGACAGGGCTCTGGGCACATCTGGCTTTGCCTTTCAGTGCATGGACTTGAAGTCTCCACTGAGCAGCTGGGATGGTCACACGCAAGGCTGCCTTCTTTGGTACGGCTTTCTAACACTTAACACCTGGTGACCAGGTGACTCCAGGTGACTTCGGATGCCCTGACTTCCCTTATGTAGAAAGCATATCCCTACAGATTGGCTGTGGGGTCCAGGTGGCACAGGCCTGTCACCCTAGCTGCTTAGGAGACTGAGACAGGAGGATCACAAGTTAGGCCTGGGCAACTTTATGAGACCCCTCCTCACTGCCTTAAAATAAAAATAAAATATAGTAAGATTAAAACAGGGCCGGGAATGCAGAGTGCTCTTTAGCAAGCTCAGAGCCCTGACTTAGATCCTTACTACCTCTGTAAAGGAGAGGGAGGAGGGAGGAAATTCTAATGGTGTCTTCGCCTTGTGTAATTGTTAGCTAATGTTACCTCATCAAAGGAAGAGCAGTGTGGAGGGAAGACAGTGAACTTGGGCATCACTGAGACCCAGTTCTGATGTAATTCCCTTCTCTCTTGCCCCTCCCCCCTGCATCCCTCCTTCCCTTCCATTCCCTCTCTCCTTACAGTTGGATGAATAGGATGGAGGATGAGTTTCTCTGAACTTTGACCACTTTTCCTATTTAAAAAAAAAAGATGTTTCCAGGGTTCCTGAGGCATCAGCTATAAAATGAGAGAAGCAATGAGTTAGAGGCTGTCTATACACAAGTGTCATGTCTGAGGACCCCAGAGTCACCCTGTGAGTGGGTTGCTGAAAGCAAACCAGCCTCCCTAAGTGGGTTTAGCTCATGATTTTAGCCAGTGTTAGCTAAGTGCTCACTGGGTACATCAATCATCTCGCATCATGACACCACTGTCTATTTTGGCCTCTGTCGTAGATCCTCCCAGCTTGGGCCAGTCTTAGTCTTGGACTTTTCCCTTGCAGCAGTCAGAAATGCAGGCTAACACAGTGTAAAGGGCTGTCATTGGCAGGATACAGGGGCATTTTATTTAAGAAGTGTCGCTGTGGCATTTGGAAAGTGGTCAAGCTTTGCCCATCCCTTGATTTTTTCTCATTGCTGGTTTTTGGCCTCATGTCAGCTGTGCAGGATAGCTTCCTCTGTGAGGCTCATGGCTTTTCCTATGGCTTTGGTTTGTGAGTAGCTTTGGCTCGCCCTGACACACTGGGGCTGTGACTTTACTGCTTTTATGTCTGTTGTCACCAGCCTCTTCAGTCAGTGTCCTTCAAGTTCAGAGATGGGATTGGACTTGTCCACTAAAGCCAAGTGTTCTCTTTCCTTCAGCTGGGACAGCTGGGACATCACTCAGCGCTAGTAGTCTGCTTGTCTGTGGGGAAGACAGTCGCTGACTGCGGGCCTCTTACCATCCCTTGGATGACCTGGGTGGCTGGAGATTTTCCTGCTCTATATGACATGGGTAGAGTTTTGAAATGAATCATTAAGGACCAGCTTTGATAAATGATGTGATGACTAAATTACTTGGAACCAAAACAAAGTAGTGACGACATACTCAGCTTGCGACCTTCAAAGGGAGTGCTCAGGAAGGAGTCCAGAGAGTATGGCATGTTTCCTGACAGCAGAATAAGAGTTAACTTCCTTGAGGACCTAGGTCATCCTCATTTGGACATTTTTATGTTCTACTTTGGAATCGTGAACTTGCACCTCAAAGGGCATCCAGAGCACTTTAGAACTAACACACTCGTGTTTCAAGAACAGAAGACAGAGACGTGGGTAAAGATGTGACAGTCGTGGGCTCTGAATCCACCTGCTCTCTTCAGCAGGGACAGCGTCCCAGCCTAGTGCTCTTTTTCAGAGTGCCTGCTACTCACTGTGTGCACGTGTGTATGCATGCATGTGTGCTTTTACCCACTGAGCCATTGACCCAGGCCCCACTTATTTTGAAAAGAAAAATCTCTTGTTGACAAATGGTCTGGAAAGCTGTACTGCACACTTCCATTTATAGGAAGCACAAAAGCAGGCCCAGCCCCCTGGTGGCAGTGAAGTCGGTAGGCCCTAGGAGGGCTGGTGCATTGTCTAGAGTGGTACTGGGTGGAGGTTTAAAGGAGCCTCGTGTGCTCCTATTTTTATAATCTGTATACATATGCATGTATATGTAGGTATGCTTTGGGTCCATGCACTTGGTTGTAAATTACATGTCAGTTCTTAGAAGTGATCTCACCACTGGAGTCTTGCCTCCAGTGCCAGTGACGCCTCACCACATAGGGATGTTCTGCTGTCAGGGTCACAGCTCCACCCTGGCAGAGCACACTCTGCCCTGCTGTCCTGGAGCCTCTCTTCCAGAAGTTAGCCTCATGGGGCCAGTTTCCTTTTAGAGGTTTGATGTGGGCCTAGGCACATAAAAACTACACATTAAGGTTCTGCCAGGAGCTGCAGAAACAGCCACCCACTGCTGTCTTCTTAGGGAATTCAGATCTGCTCAGGGAAGAGGGAAGAGTTGGCCAACTCTAAGCTCTAGCTGTCTACCCCACTTACTAGCTAGGTCTACTAGGGCTTGACCAAGCCTCACTCTTGTCCTCTTCAAGTCTGGTGCTGCCCTGCCTCTTCCTGAGGGCTGCTGGGAAGCAGCAGTGGATATACTTTCACACCCTGATGTTTTTGACAACTGGCTCTTGACACAGCCCACCCCTCAGGAAATGGTCTATGCTTCCTCCTCTCTGCCTAGGGGTGCAGAGGACACACTTCACGAACCCTTTTCACAAGAGGTTTGTGCCCACCAGGCTGTGAGAACTGGCATCTGTTGGGGCTGGAAAATTGATATCACACACGATTAACAACTTAGCAACAGCGGTGTTGCACACGCCAACAGAGGCAGGCGGTCCCCATTAGCCAGGCATGAACTGCAGGCAAGGGGCTGAACCTTGAGGAGGCAAAAGGTCTTTTTCATTAAAAGAGCGCCCGCTCCTGAACCTGTAGGCAAGAAGTGTAAATATACATTGAAATAATCCATCAGCAGAGTGACTGCCTTCGTCAGGCCTTGGAGAGAGCCTCAGTGCTGCCCAGAATACCACTAAGCCACCAGAGTTGCCTAGGATACCAGTCACATGAGCCCATCTCCCAGACTTGCCCCAGATGATTTATTTCCATTTATTTTCAAGGGCAGTGTGTGTGTGTGTGTGGGGGGGCTCAGATGCACTTCCATAGCCCTGCTCTCTAGAGAGGTCTTTGTGTGTAATGGGGAGGGGGCGCTCAGATGCACTTCCATAGCCCTGCTCTCTAGAGGGGTCTGTGTGTGATGGGGGGGGGGGTCTCAGATGCACTTCCACAGCCTCATCCTCTAGTGGGGTCTTTGTGTATGATGGGGGGCTCAGATGCACTTCCACAACCCCGCCCTCTAGAGGGATCTTTGTGTGTGATGGGGGGGTTCAGCTGCACTCCCACAGCCCCGCCCTCTAGAGGGGATCTTTATGTGATGGGGAGTGGGGCACAGATGCACTTCCACAGCCCTGCCCTGTAGAGGGGTCTTTGTGTGTGATGGTGGGGGGAGGCTCAGATGTACTTCTACAGCCCTACCCTCTAGAGGGGTCTGTGTGTGATGGGCGGGTTCAGCTGCACTCCCACAGCCCCGCCCTCTAGAGGGTCTTAGTATGAGAGCATCCTTACCGCCTGCACTCAAGCTCCTGGCAGCCCTTGCCCTTGGCACTAGGGACCAAAATAGCATTTCCTGTCTCAGTTCTCGTCTCCATTTTCTGAATTCCACATTATCCCACAGGGAGGAGTCTCCACACTGTGTGTCCTTTGAAGGGGCAGGAGTGGCCACAACAGTGGGGAGGAGAGAGCAGACTGGGCCCTGCCGACACTGGGATCTGCTGAGCAGAAGTGGCCTGGCCCCTTCAGCTAACCACTCAACCAAGAAAAGACTGTCTCTTCCCTTCTGCTTCAGAGCACGGGTTTCTCTCCTCCCGAGTCCCCAGGATGGGGTTTGCACCCAGTGAGCTCTGCTCCCACCCAGTCCTCTTGGCCCCTCACACTGACTGTCACACTGGCCAATCTTGCTGCCGCCTGGGCTGCAGATGACAGAGAGCTTTGTCCCATTTCTGCCGCTGATTGGATCTAAGGAGACAGCAGCCTGCGGAGAGGCTGCGGCCTGAACTTAGACACTGCGCACCGCACAGTTTCGTGTGTCGCTTTAGCCCTCCCGAGCGGACAGCTGGAATGAAGAGGAAGGCACACTTTGACCTTCCCTTCTGTTTGGTTCTCTCTGCAGGCGGCTGTGTCTGTGTCTTGAAGCAGGGCCCGCTGAGAACAATGCCTCCACCGTCGGACATTGTTAAGGTGGCCATTGAATGGCCAGGTGCTAATGCCCAGCTCCTTGAAATCGACCAGGTATGTCAGAGCTCTAAGGAGGGGTCAGGTGCACAGAGGAGGAAGTGTTTAGGCCCACAGGCCACTGGCATCATAAGCAAGGGCAGTGACAGGAAGCCTATGCGCTGGGCCAGACCTCCGCAGGGAAGATGGTCACTGTGGCTTGGGAAAGCTTCTTCTCATCAGAGACTGAGTGGTTCTGCTGGCAGCAAACCGCGTGCTGAAAGATCTCCTCCCATCTCTTTCAGAAACGGCCCCTGGCATCCATCATCAAGGAAGTGTGTGATGGGTAAGTTGACTTCCTTTCCACAGTGACAGCTAAGAGTGGGGGAGGCTGCCCTGCCCTGGAGGAACTTGTACAGAGAGCGTCTATTGGGTCATTGTCTTACCAAGGAAGGACAGCTAATGAGGATGTTCCTGAGGCGTCCTGAGATTCTCATTTATTCTTGGACCTAGGAGTGGCCTTTGGGTGGTCTGGGCAGTATGTGAGACCCACGCCCCTCTGTCTGGACCTCGTCCTGAGGTACTGACCCTCACTGTGGTGGAGAGCCTTCCTTTCTCAGGAGCTCTGTTCAAAGCTTTGTTTGGATTCCACTGTGCTCCAGACAGGCTGACAGTCCTTAAGTCACTGTTGAAAAGCATTTGTTATTGCTCTAGACAAGCCCAGAGGAGAGGCCAAGAGGGTGTATTGTTTTCTCTCACACAGGTGGTCGCTGCCAAACCCGGAGTACTACACACTCCGCTATGCAGATGGGCCCCAGCTCTATGTCACCGAGCAGGTAAGAACAAAGTAATCAAGGTCAGGGCAAACTTAGCTTGCAAGTGACCTGCCAAAGGGATGGCACTATCCAGCTTCCTCGCTGTCTAGGCGGCCCATTTCCTGGTTGAAGAGCTGCCCTTTGGAGCATGGAGTACACCAGTCTGCTCCCCAGTGGCTGAGTGCCTTTGCTTCTTGAGACCCGGAACTCCTGAGGAGAATCTTAGGATCTCTTTGCAAGGAGCAAGCAAGAGGAGGCCTGCTGCAGAGCCTCAGTGAACTATAGTTGTCCCTCAGTCTCCATGGGGAGTGGTCCCTAGAAGGCCGGGACAGCAAACTCTTGGTGTTCAGATGTCACAGTAGCTGCCTCTCATCTGACACATGCACATGAAAACCCAGTCGAGAATGTGCTTCATGCAGCGGGCAGGCCATGGAAGTACCTGCTGCCTAGTAATGCTACAGGTATACCGTTCAAAGCAAACCTCCCCATGCAGAGATCTGTGGTTCACTGCTGGCTGGATCATCTGCAGATGAGGAGAGCCAACTGCACTTTTAAAATGACCGCAAGTCCCTATTGGTTGACCTCCATGCACTCTTAATCTTGTCTTTTTGTTTTCTTTGATTCTTTGCTTCCCAGACTCGAAGTGACATTAAGAATGGGACAATCTTACAGCTGGCTGTCTCTCCGGTAGGTATTCCAGTCAGCTAACACACCAAGTGCTGTGGCGTTTGAAATCCCTCGCCCTCGCAGCCTGGCTGGCAGCTTATGAGCACGGGCAGCAGGCAGCCTCTTGGCATTGGAAAGAGTCACTCAGGCTCTCAGGACTGAGAGGGCAGCCTGCCTCAGCATAGGGGTCTCCAGAAAGCTTTTCTGGAGCCTCAGCCTCGAAGGTAAAGCTGGAACTAACGGAAGGAAGGAAAGACCACGGCTTCAGGGTGTGCTGGGGCGGCACTGGTGGTCTGGGGACTCTGGAGACCAGTTCCACAGTTCCTTGCATGGCTTCTGTGAACTCAGACCTTACTCAGAAAGAAAGGGAATCAACAAAGAAAGTGGCCTGTGCTTCCCTTTGGGTGTTACAAAAGTTAGTTTCACAGGCAGGCAAGGGAGGCTGGTGGGAGAGTGGCCTCTGAGAACTTGGTCAGGAATGCTCACATCCCAGTGAAGGCGGTGGGATGACAGGACTTAGGAGATACCTTAGTGAATGTGGCGGAGTGCTGGGTGAGGACAGGGGAGCCCAAGGGGATACTCTCATTCTGTATAAGCAACCCTAAACGTGATTAAAGGGAGCTACCAGAAAGGGAGTAAAAAGCAGGAGCCTGGAGTAGTAACAGGCCTGTGACCCCAGCATTGAGAGGTAGAGGCAGGAAGATCATGAGTTGAAAGTCATCTTCAGTTATAGACTGGTCAAGGCCAACCTCAGCTGTAGATCGTACAGATAGTACCCTGTCTCAAAACGAAAAGAAGGGGTGTAGGTGGGGTGGGGGTAGTGGCGAGGAAGGATGTGAAGTGACTCAAACAGGGAGCAGGATAGGGAAGATGTGGCCTGCAACTTGTGATGAGCACAGATGGCAGGGCGAGCGCAGGGCAGCCGGAGGCACAGACGGCACAGCTCAGGTTCCAGCAGGAAAGTGGACAGCCAGGTGTTCGGAGTGATAGTTGGGGGCACAGTAGAGGACCTATGTCTGCTGCTGTACCAGGGAGCTCAGTCTCAAAGGGTGTAGAGGAGGACAGGCACTCGGGAGATAAGGAGTCCAGAAGTGTTGCTATGAGAAATAGGTAAAACGCATTAACGTGTTTCAAAACTTGTGAGATTTGGCAAAGAAGTGAAAGGTCTTTGTGCCCAGTCCTGCAGCCCGCTCTCCAACCGGAGGCCCCTTTCTTTCTCTTGCAGTTTTTCGTGTGTCCCATGGATGAGTTCAGATGGGAGAGGGTGAAGGTGCAGGAAAGGGGGTAAAGTTGCAGTGTGCATCAGGACAGGGAGGCAGGACTGTGACAGAGGTGATCACCAACACTCAGCCTTTGTCACCGTTGTAGGAAATTTCAGGCCGTGTTTTCTTGTTGAGGGAAGAACCAGCTTGTCCTAGGAGGGGGCAGGTACAAAGAGCGCCAGCCAGCATGTACCTTGTTTCTCTAAGCCCTCCTGATTGCGTCAGCTAATCCTACCAAAGAACCAAGAGGGAGACATTCTGCCCATTTTACAGACAAGGAGACTAAGGACTTAGGTTGAGTAGCTTGCCACTTGTGCAACTGAAAAAGTAGCCAAGCCTAGTTCAAACTTGGACCTGTGAGGCTTGGCCAGTTTCCTCAGCATCCTGTTCACCTCCCTCCACTTGTAAAGGGGCTTCTCCACAAGACACGCCATCCCCTTGCAAACACACACTAGGCTCTGCTAATTTCATGTGACAGTTGTCAGACGTGCAGTGCATCTTGTAGACCTTTGTATGAAGTGGAGGAGACAGCAGCCAGGAAGGCCATCTCTGGAGGGAGGTTGACATTTGGATGGAAGTTTCTAAGTGTGAGGCAGACCGATGCCCTATAGACTGTCTCATGGGTGACCTTTTTCTCTGTCCACCCATTTGCTGCTGTGGGATTAGAAGGATTTGTGAGCCTTGTACAGGCACAGCCCCCCCCCCCCACCCCACCTTTTATTTTTGGCGACAGGGTTTCTCTGTAGCTTTGGAACATGTCCTGGAACTCACTCTGTAGACTAGGCTGACCTCCAGCTCACAGAGATCCGCCTGCTTCTGCCTCCTGAGTGCTGGTGCTGGGATCAAAGGTGTGTGCCACTATTGCCTGGCTCAGGCCCCTTTTTGTAACAGAGAGGCAAGGGAGGGGTAGCTGGCTTCACTCCCCAGCCTCTGAAGAACTGGGCTCCTGACACTGAGCAGACAGGCAGACCTGGGGCAGTCTGCTCTTCCTGCTCCTTTCCAGAGAAAATGTTACGTTTAAAGCGGGCGCGATGAAACAGTGAGCTGGAGTCTGACTGTGTGGTAGCAAGTTCAGCATGAGGGTGATGAGTGGGCATGGCAGAAGGCCAGCATCCTGCTTGGGGAGGACCCATGGCGGGAGGCATTTGTCCTCACCAGCCATCATGTCTGGGAAGCGGTTCACGGTCATGGCTTCTGGGTCCTCTGTCCTTCACATTTCACCAGCATGATTCTCTTGGGAAAGGGTGATCTAGAACTTTGAATTTTAAAGTTTTCATCGTCAGGCCTATTACACTTTAGAATTAGAAGGATCCATCATGGTCATCAGATTAAATTCTAGGGCAGGGCCCTTGGCCTCTGACAGATGATGTCCAGTCCTCCCCCACCCCCATTGCTTCCAGGGGTGGTGCTTGGCTTTGTAGCAGAACCCCGTACTGTCAGGTAGTGCTCATCGGTAAAACGCTCCCTGTTAAGCCAGACCTGCTCCTGCAGACGGCACAGTTAGGAGATGTCCCAGTTTTCTTTATCTTCTTGGTAGGAATTGAAAGACAAATCTGTAGACCAGGGGCTAGCAAGATGGCTCAGTGGGTTAAGGCACTTGCCGCCAAGCCTGATGGCCTGAGTTCTATCCCTTGGACCTCATGGTGGAAGAAAAGAGCCTATAATTTATGCTCTAATTGCCACACTCAGGGTAGGGCATGCACATACATGCACACAAAAGAGATGTGATTTTAAAATAAATCCATAGGCTATAGGGGTATAGGAAAGGAAAAGATACAGATATCTACAGATCAGTCCCAGAATACTGGAAATTCTCTTATTGGTCCCATAAACGTTTATTTAGCAGTTCCTAAGCCACGTGAAAATCTAACTCTGCCCGGGGCTCGGCTCTGAGCCCACAGTAGTAACCTGCTGCAGGAGCAGATGGCATCTCTTTTGTCCCTGGCCTCACAGTCCCGGGCTGCACGCCAGCTGATGGAAAGGACCCAGTCATCCAGTATGGAGACCCGGCTGGATGCCATGAAGGAGCTGGCAAAGCTCTCAGCCGACGTGACTTTTGCCACTGAGTTCATCAACATGGATGGCATCGTCATGCTGACGAGACTTGTGGAGAGCGGAACCAAGCTCCTGTCCCAGTGAGTATGGCCAAAGTCTTCCGAGCAGTTTGAGAGTTCCGTGACCTGTTCTCACTTCTGTGGTGTCAGCAAGGAGTCCAAGTCCACATACAGAGAGGTCTCGTCCGTGTTGGGGTCCTGCATCCAGGGGACTCTCGTGGGTTGAGTGACCCAGTGCTGTACTAGGTGAGTAGTGAAAGTAGGGGCCGTGGGCGTCAGGAAGGAAGCCAGTACACAGCAGACCTGTACCTTATGGAAAGTGCTTGGCCTGATGAGGTTCAGGGGAGAGAGGGCAGCTGTCTGTCATCTTCTTAGTGACCTGTCTACCCTCCCTGATCCCATCCCCTCTCTCCTGATGTGCGTGCCTCCCTTTGGATACCATCTCCCTGCTCCACACTGTCAAGGAGGAGCTCAGGCGCCACGCCTGGACACCTCTACTGCCCTCCAGGCTTAGGTGGCTGGGCCCTATTTATGATCAGCAGTGAGTGACAGGTGCCCACGTCTCCAACTAAGCCTGTGGAGCCTAAGCTAACAGGCATGGAGTCAGAAATCTCACAGGCAGCGGATCAGCTCCCAAAACTGTCAGCCAAGCCAAGCAGCTAATCCTAGGCATTTGTTTTAAAGTCTTGGATCCTCCAGCTGAACCAAGCAGAAGCCTCTGCCTGCCATTGGGAGAGCGTTGGGCTGCAACAGACCAACCTTAGTCTCCTCTCTGAAATGGGAATGACACTCAGCCCCGAATTCTGCTAGCAGTGTTATTACCGCTGGCAAATGGGGATCTGGCTCGTTAACTGTAGAGCACTGTGCCACTGCATGAATGATTAAATCTGTAAGGAGAGACAAAAGGCAGACGATTAATCCTTATACCACATTATTGTAAGGGCACAGTAGACCTCATCAGCTTGCTCTTCCCACAGCCCTGTGAGACGAATGCTCTGAGACTAACTTGATCTTACAGAAGAGGAAGCTAGAGCTGGGAAGACAAAACAAGCATGGCAACTGCTCAGACAGAAACTGAAGGCATAGCCACACCCAGACTGTCCCTTTCGCCCTGGTGCCTCTCGGCCTAAGGGGCAATATGGGATATAAGCTCTCATAGGTCCCCCAGCAAACTACATTTTGACAGTCTTTGTTTGGGGAGATAGCTAACAGACTAACCCAGAGATGAAGCAAGATGGTGAAGACAAGCCTGGGTGCCTGCAGCCCACCAACTTTGCAGTGTAGGTACCTGGGCCACATCTGCCCTGCAGCTGGCTGGGCGCTGCAGGCACTGACTGCTGCTTCTGCAGATTTCCCGTGGGTGTTTACTGAGAGCTGTCCCTTTTGTAGCTGCCTTCACACTTGCACTCCCTGGATCTGAATCTCTGTGTTTTGTGTGTGTCGCACATGTCTCAGCTACAGTGAGATGCTGGCATTCACCCTGACTGCCTTCTTAGAGCTCATGGACCATGGCATTGTCTCCTGGGACATGGTTTCAATCACCTTTATTAAGCAGGTGAGGTCTCCAGCATTCTGTTTGTCTCCCTCCTCTCCCTGTACATTCTTTGGGCATAAGGGGAGAGTCGGCAGTGCAGACTGTATGTAGTCTCTGGCAGGAGTTATGTTTGTATTCCCTGGGGCTGGATTCTCATCCTCAAGCAATGATCTTCCCAGGACTCCTGAATGTTGTATACTCTAACAGGTGCTTCTCAATTTACTGTAGGTTCTTTCTTGATAAACCCATCATATGTTGGAAATGTCACCAGATTAAAAATTAATTTACTTCCCTTGGCCCGCTGAACATCCTCCTTAGCAGCTTGTAGTGGCTCCTTTGTTTGTCTCTTGACCGCATCTCTGGGAGATGTGGCTCAGTTTTCACAGCCTGGTCTCAAGAGAGGCCATTGTCACTTGCCCATGAAAAGATCTCAAGTCACAGTTTGCTCTCTCTTGGGGCCTGCACCAAGGACAGGGCTCAGAGCAGAACTGGTTGTCAGGGAGGCTGGCACAAAACAGCCAGTCATCAGCTCTGAGCTACCTGCTTCCTCAGCTCTTCTGAGAGAAAGCTGCATCTCATTTGCAAATGTGCTTCCTTTGTGCAAATCTGACAAGTAGCCTGCTTGGTTACAAGATGAACCAGAGCAGCAGAAGAGCCCTTCCAAATCTGCCATCCTGTCTGCTACCAGAAGGGGCAGTCTCAGCCCAGAAAACTGGATGAAAACCAGGCTGTCGTTGCCTAGCAGTTCACATCCTTGGTTTGAACCATTGAGAACTTCCCAATGTTAGAAACATTTAGGCAGAAGTGAAGTGACAGTGTGTGGAGGGAACTGAGAAGAGGGGTTTGGCTAAAGGATTCTCCAGGTCTGATGGTCTAACTCTGTAGGGAGTGGAAGAGCAGGTAAAGATAAGATACAAGAGTCAGTACAGTAGGTCTACCTCAAGTTGAACTCTTGTTTTGAAAAGGATTAAGGTGTTAAGCATTTTGAAGAAACACAGTTGAGTGGATACTGTCACATAGATGGAGGCGTCCATGCTGAGGGAATCCTGGTTCACCGGCCAGAGCAGTCATAAACCAGATGTTGTGATCCACCTGGCCACCATTGCCCACATAGAGGCAGTGTGCTGAGAAGGGAGCATCAAGGGCTTCCTTGGCTCCAGTTTCCCATCCAGTGTGCCTCTCCCTGGATCTAGATTGCAGGGTATGTGAGCCAGCCGATGGTCGATGTGTCTATCCTTCAGCGGTCCCTGGCCATCCTAGAGAGCATGGTATTAAACAGCCAGAGCCTGTACCAGAAGATAGCAGAGGAAATCACCGTGGGACAGCTCATCTCTCACCTGCAAGTGTGAGTAAGGGCCCTACCGTCCCCTGGCCAGTCCATCCTCTGTCTTAGAATTCTGCCTGGCCCTACACATTCCTTCAGCACCTCCTCCTCCTCTGTGGGAATTCTTTTCATAGTTGAGACCCCAGCTGCCAGGCAGTGTTAGACACTCCCTCTTCTATGAGCCTGGTAGTCTTGTTCATACCCATGACAATGATATTTATGTAAAATACTGTATTTCATCACCAGTTGCCCATCTGAAGTTCTGAGCTCCCTGGAAACAAGTACTCGACCATTTTTGAAGCCCCTTCCTGATTTAAGTGGAAGCTTAGTTTGTTGAGTGGGTGGTCATTTGCTATGGTGGCAACAGTGTGGTGACAACATCCAGAAATATGAGCTACATGTGAGTTTGGGATGCCAGCTCAGACCCAGGCTCTGTGGCATGCCAGGATTTGGCCTTGTCGTTTGGCCTCGGTTTTCTCATCTCTGGATGTATAAGTCATCTCTACCTTTCATACCTATGTGGATCAAAGAAAATTTAAAAACTAGCATGATGGCCAGCCTAGATGGTTTTAGTTTGCTTTTTTTTTTCTTTTATCAAACTTACTTTATCAGAACATACATTTAGCCTGTATTAAAGTCAGGAGACACACAGGCACCACTTGGAGCTAGTGTTCATGATTATAAGGGCCGAACTTGCCTAAAGAAGGGTGGTAACACTGCTTATTGACACCGATTCTCCTTCCTGCTTGTTGGACTTGATTGGAATGGGCCATGTCCCCTGTGGGGTCCTGAGGATGCATATATCTAGGATAGTCTCCCAGATTCAAGACAGGTAGATGCAGTTTCACCCAGGACCGCCAGCCCAGGAGGGGCCCCTCCTACAATGGGCTGGGCCCTCCCATCAATCACTAATTAAGAAAATGCTCTACAGGCTTGCCTACAGCCCAATCTTACAGAGGCATTTTTTCGCTTGAGGTTCCTTCTCTCAGATGACTCTAGCCTTTGCCAAGTTGACATAAAACTGACCTGCACAACTGACCTTTTGTCTAGGAATCCACAACTTTTCCTTTCCCAAAGATCACACATTAATAAAGACATCAAAATAGAAAACATTTTACAAGCTTAAAAAGTCCCACAGCCTTACAAAATTCAAGCACTTTAGAAGTAGTCTCTTTAAAAATATAGCCTCTTTTAAAGTCCAAAGTCTCTATAAAACTCTTAAATCTTTTTTTTTTTAAAAAAAGTTTGAAGTCTCTCAACTGTGGGTTCCTGTAAAATCAAAAATAAATACTTTCTTGCTTCAAGAGGGAAGAACCAGGGCACAGTCACAATCTGAACAAAGCAAAGTCAAACTCCATCTGTAAATAACTCACAATCTTCTGAGGGGCTTGGGGCACTTCTCCAGCTCCGTCCCCTGCAGCACACACAGCTTGTCTTCTGGGCTCAGGCTGGCTCCACTCCACTGCTGCTGCTGATCTTGGTGGCCATGCCGTGGCACTGTCTTCTCCAAAACTCTGGGGTCACATGCTGCAGCTGGGCTGCGCTTTCACCAATAGGTTCTCTTCACGGTGCCACGCCCCAACTTCTCTGCATGGCCCCTTCAGTTCTGGGGCTTCCACTGCACTCCAGCTGCACCTTCCCCAGTGGCCTCTCTGGTGCCATGCCTCTGGTGCTCTCCAATATCCCTTCATGCCTTTAAAACCAGTACCACCTGGGTGACTCTTACACATTACCAAGTCTGGCTACCAACATGAGGTACGACCTTGGCTGCCTCTGGAACATAGCTTCCCTGTACTCTCAGGAAACACTTCCCAGAAGATATCACCTCAGTGGTCTCTTCTTAGTCACTGCTAATTTCTCAGCTTCAACAAACCAGCATCACGTGTCCCAGTAAAGCAACGGTTTCTCTTCAATGGTTCTGGTCCCTTGCTAATCACAGCTGATTCTTCAGCTCCAGCTGAGCAGACACGCAGCTTCTTCACACAAATGTACCGGCAGAGTCTTTGCCTCCCTCTGGAACTCAATAAGCCAGGTCGTCAGCCTCTGCATTTCTCTCAGCGTTCTTATCTTCCAGGCTCCCACAGAACAGCTCTCTAAGCTTTGAACACTCAATGGTTTTTCTAACCCAAAGTTCTAAAGTCCTTCTACAGTCCTCACAGAAATATATGGACAGGTCTGTCACAGCAGTACCCCACTCCTGGGGCCAGTTCCTCTCCTAATTAGGGTTACTATAAACACCATGACTGAGAGCAAATAGGGGAGTTTAGGGTTTGTTTGCCTTACGCTTCCACATCACTGTTCATCATTAAAGGAAGTCAGGACAGGAACTCAAACAGAGCAGGAATCCAGTCAGGAGCTAATGCAGAGGCCATGGAGGGCTGCTGCTTACTGGCTTGGTCTGCCTACTTTCTTATAGAACCCAAGACCACCAGGCCAGGTATGGCCCCACCCACAATGGGCTGGGTCCTCCCCCATTGATCACTAATTAAGAAAGTGTCCTGTAGCCCGTTCTTATGGAAAACGTTTTCTCTTTTAAGGTTCTCCACTTCCAGGTAACTCTACTTTGTGTCACGTGACATAGACTAGCCAACACAACCCAGTAGTGCTCCTAACTTGTTCCCATTAATCTAGAACACTCATGTGGGCCTGCTCCCACCTTGTCGCTGGTGTTTCTGGAGGAGGAGTGGGACTCATGCTGTCCAGGCTGGCCCTGGACTCATGTTCCTTTTCCTTTCACATCTCACATTTTGGAATTACAGGTGGGTACCACCAGCCCTGGCATCATCTTGTCATTTTTAAAGGATTCCTCAGCCCCAACTTTCATTCTCGAAGAGCCAGGATAGAGAGATCACAGACTCTGGATAGAAATTTCATGGGTCCCGGCAACCTTACTCCTCTTTCCTCGTATGAATTGGAGGTGACCTTAGCTGCCCTCCTTGAGAACAGTAGAGAATTGTGACATTTCTTAGACTTCTGTCGTGAATATTTAGCCCACACTGTCACCAGTGTATGTATGCTCAGCAAGGGACCTTCCTGACCAGGAAGCTGTTGGCCCTCTGGAGGAAGCTACAGGAGGCACCCACAATATGGGAGATGGAAGCCCCAAGCCAGCATTATGAGATTCTGGGAAAATGCTTATAAGATTATTTTATTTACTTAAAGTAAGATAAACTTGTAGTCAAAACTTTGAAAATGTGGAAAACATAAGCAGTACGTTCTTTACTTATCACCCCGCTCCGACAGGACCACTGCTCAACACTAAGTTGAACGGCCCCGTAGCTTTTTCCTTTGTGTGTTTTCACCAGAATTTAGATCTTGCTCTACATTCATACGTACCTATGTTTTTCTTCTTTTTTTCTGGCTGAATAATTCATCTTGAACATTTTCCCATATCAAGCTCTTTTACAAGGATGCTTCTAACCCTGTTCCACATCCCAGATGTTTGTGGAAACCAAACCAGCTGAGCTTTTCTCCCCTTGAGAAGGTCACACGCAGTCAGCTAGAGTCTCTCTGTACCATATCTGGGCTTCACAGATACTCCAAACCCATCTCTGAGTCCCAGGTTAATAATCTTCACCCCAAAGCAAGATTTTTAGGAGGCTCTTAGGAGTCTCGCATATTAAACAGCCCCCAGTGAGAGCATTTGGATTACTTAACATTCTTGTCTTTTTAATAGGACTCTAGTGTAACAACTTGTCAATAAATCATGCATAGCTTCCTGATTACTATCTTGGATAAATCCCTTCCGTGAATTACAGGGTCAAGTGTGCGCCTGCGCAAAATGCTTTTCTGACTTAGCTTCAGGTCATTGTTTGATCACAATCTGCGAGCGTTTTAAGCTGTCTGTGAGCATCATCCTCTTGCTCTGCAGTCCCCTGACTCCCTTGCCTGTCTCTGTTGACACAGTTCTAACCAGGAGATCCAGACCTACGCCATCGCTCTGATTAACGCACTGTTCCTGAAGGCCCCGGAAGACAAGCGACAGGTCTGTAGCTTTCCAAAATTTCCTCCTGGGCTCTTCTGAGAGTTCGGGGCAAAGAGAAGGATCCAGCCATGCTCCCAAGTTCTCCCTCCCAACATTTCCTGCCAGAGCCCAGTAGTGTGTTTTTGCTAAGGAAGCCCCAGGAAGGAACTGGGAGGTGGGTGACCTGCTGCTTTTGGGATCAGGGCAGAATTCTGATGGGTTTCCTCTGAAGGCTGGAAGGTAAATATTTTTTTACTTCTTGTGGCAACTTGTCAAGTTCGGCTGTTGTAGCCAAAGGCAGCTTCAGATAGGAGGTAAACAATGGTACAGCTGTCTTCCAGTCAAATTGTTTACACAGACAACACACTCAATATGCCTTTAGTTTGCTAATTCCTTGGCTAGAGGACCGAGAAGAGGAAGGGATAAGGGGAGACCCTCTGACTGCCACTGGGGCTGAAATGGGACTGGGCACCAAGTTTCATCTGTGGAATCCCTGGTCTACATCCTCAGCCTCCGTCCTAGCTCACCAGCTGTGTGGCACACGTATCGTGACAAGCTCTTCCTGTCTCATCTTTAGTCGCTTACCTATAGCTGTGGGAGTGACGGCATCTGCCTGATCACTCACTCATGGCACTGTCGTTAGGTCCCAGGAGAGCCCTGTTTTATAGTGTGGGACCTGACGGCTGGTTAATGGGGCTGGTGCTGACCTGAGTGGAGGACCTGGGCAAGTGCTTGTCCTTCCTTTGACTAGGCCTGTGTATCAGCATTCCAAGTCTGAATGCCCCTTTTTGTGAAATGAAAGGACAGAATGAAACAAGCTCTAAGCACCCTAGACCTAACGTTCCAGATCTCTGCTAAAAGCATACATAGTGTACAAGAAGTAAGGCTTTCCAATTCTCTGTCACTATCATGAGCCCATTAAATGAAGTTCAGGTGGGGCTATGCATCAGGCTCTCGGGAGTTCCTTTATTAGAGGGAGGAGCTGAAGCATCCATGGTCTGTCTGTCCTATCTGTTTGGATGGTGTGACTCTGTGACTGTCTCCCTTCCTGTTGTGTTAACCATAAGCCGACCGCTCACCCTGTCTGCTTCTCTCTGTGCTCTTTGCTTTCTGCTGGCAGGACAAGCACCTTAACCCTCTAGACCTGCCCGCCACTGTAAGTAGCGCTGCTGTTGCAGAGGGCCTGACTCTTCCTGGGCGGAGGGGGTGTCAAAGCTGGACAGGAAGCTTATGGACTGTACTGGCTGCTCAGGAAAGCAAGGCCCTGGAAAGCTGACATGTCTGTTTATTGGAATCTAAAAAGGCTCCATAGGTGAGAGCGATAGAAGGACGGAGAGATGCCTGCTCTGGGAGAGTGGCCAGGCATTTCCTCAGGACACCTTTGTGAGAGTCTGGAATTAGCTTGGAATCAGATGCAGAAACAGCCTGACTTTCTTCCATATGATTCCAAGAATGTGTCACCTCCTGGCTGCCAAATCCAGAGTGAGGGTAAATCCAGGCCCTTCCTTGACTGTTCCTAGATAGAGAATGAGAAGGGTTAGACAGTTTACAAAAGGGAGTTTGAGGTCTGAAGAGATGGCTCTTGCAGAGGACTCCAGCACCCACATGGAGGTTCATAATCATTTCTAACTCTAGTTCCAGGGGATCTAACACCCTCTTTTAGCCTCCTCAGATACTGCCCACATGCACACACACAGTCAAAACACTCATGTACAATTTTTTAAGGTTAAAAAGAATTTGGGTGCTTATTCTTGGTTAGAGGGAGCTTTGGAGAGGTCACTTGAAGGGCCTGAAGGAGGGTATGCTCCCGGATGCAGCACCAAGGGGAAGCTCTAGTCTGCTGGTAGTGCCTCTGTGAGTTGTCCACTCAGTGTTTAGTCTCACTTAAATAACACTCCAGGCACCGTCCTCTGCTGGCCAGGATGTGCTCGGGGGTCACAGTGAACCAGATGATCCTGACTAGACATGTGGAACACACGGGAGCAGCAGCTCCCTCAGGCCTGCTGACTTACAGTCGCCTATAAAGGTGGCCAAGGCTGCAGTTTAGAAGGGAGTCTCTATAATTAATATCACAAAGACAATGCTGGTATTAGAAAGAAGGGACCCAGAAATTGAGAAAAGCTGTGATAATATTGGAAGCATCCTGATATGGGACCATTTTGTTTAAGTGAAATTTCAGCAGCTCCTCAAGGTGACAGTGTCATGGCAGAGTGATCCCCAGCGAGCTGAGGAGGAGCTTGCATGATAATCATTGTAGCCCCTCGTGTATCAGAATGGTACTGACGGGCCCTTAAAAATCTCCATGGAGGATGCATCTCTTAGGATATTTTATTTCTGGATACTTAATAAAAAAATGTTACTGTCAAAGTTTGAGCCAAATCTGATGGGAAAGCTGAGTCCATTGTGAGAGATTACCCAAAGGCACACAGCACATCCCTCTAAACCAGCCATAAGTAACCAGGTGTTGGTGCTGGCCCAAGGCCCTGGTCCTGGAGGAGAGTGCTGCTCGGGGTTCTTCAGCTGTGGCCATCTGCCTGGAGTGGTGCGTGTACCGCTGTGTGCGCCGCGTGCAGTGTCCATCACCAGCATCCTTGTAACATGTGTCCTGTCCTCAAGCAATCTTAGTCCCCTGTGAAGATGTTCAGTTTATTGTGCCTGTTTGAAGGGAAACTGTCTGAGTCCATTTGCACTTGTGAAAAGAAGCAGGGAAACTTTTAGAGTCAAATAAATGTGACAGTCGGTGGGTTTCTTTACTTTCAATTGGAAGAAAAACCTTCAAGGCTGCGAGGACACCGTCCCCTGACAGCAGTCCCAGGTACCACCTACCTTACCTGTTTGTTGCTTCCCTCCCTAGGACATGGCCAACGCCTTTGCACAGAAGCACCTTCGCTCCATAATCCTGAACGTGAGTTCTGGTGACTGCCTTTTGTTAATGCTGGTTGCTGTTGCTGGTAGTCCTCTTTCCATTGGGGGGGCTCTGATTATTGCCGGCGTGGAGCACAGGACAGGTTCATTGTTACTACTTATTAAGGTGCTAGGTCATTCTGAAACCTGAGATTTTTCTTGGACTCGTCTGAACCAAGCTGCCTCCGGGAAGCCATCCTGTTTAGTTAGGGTTTCTATTGCTGTGAAGAGACATCATGACCACTGCACCTTCCATAAAGGAAAACATTTAATTGAGGTGGTGGCTTACAGTTTCAGAGGGTCAGTCCTTTATTGTTATGGAAGGAGCACGTTGGCGTGCAGGACGACATGGTACTGGAGAAGGAGCTGCTGCTACGTGTTGATAGCAGGCAACAGGAAGTAGATTGTCTCAACGGGTGTGACTAACCGTATATGAGACCTCAAAACCCGCCTCCACAGTGGCACACTTCCTCCATCAAGGCCACACCTCCTAATAGTACCACTCCCTTTGGGGTCTATTTTCTTTCAAACCACTACATATCCCCACTGCAGCTAAGAGATTGCAACCCCTCCAGGAAGGAGAGGTGAAAGCCATCTCTACTGCTTGTTAGGACTTCAAAACTGTTAAATAAATGCAAAAAAAGAGCTAGCAACAGCTCAGAAATTCAGAAACCTGGGGCATACAGGGCGCTGACAGCTGAGGGCAGTGAATCTGTTCTCAAACCTTGTGCTCTGGTAGGAAAGGTGGGGTCCAGCATAGCCGTGGCCAGGAGACGGCAGGGCTGGTGAGATCTGCTTTGCAGGGGTGGGGTCAGGAAGCCTTTCAAGGAGCTGCAAGTATCAGGTACATAGGCAAGACACCCAGCCTGACCACAGAGCCCAGCAGTGCAGGGTGGAGCCAGGCGCAGATCTGTACTGAGCACCTGCTCAGGTCAGGCTCCAGTCTCCCTCCCGGCATGGCTGAGAGTCAAGATGGTGATAGAGGTACGGTTGGCTTCTAGGTTACCACAGACCATGCTGCAGGAGCTGGGTACTTGCTAAGGGGTTGGAGAGGAGTCTGGAAGAGGTGGAGGTCTTCATTCTTGTCACCATGGTGGTGACATGGGGTATGGGAAGGCAGCAAGTGGGGGTGGGAAGGGGATCAGAGATTGGGGCTAAAAGGAAGAGAGTTTATTAGTTGTCAGAAACAAAGGGAAACCCAGGGGCAGCAATGATGGTGATAAACATCAGAGTCAAGCGTAAAGATTTGGTGCTGATGCTGGGCTTTAGCCATTTTCCAGTTTGCTGTGATCTTGAGCAGCTGGCCCTGAATCCCTAAGCTTTGATTTGCTTAGCTAGGTGTGAGGACTGAAGGAGCTAATGCATAGAGCATGGGCCTGGCAGGGTGCATCCACAGCATCTGGGAAACTTCTCTGTGGCGTGTATGTAGGTCTATGTGTTTTTGAGAGAGACAGAGTATCTGAGCAAACCTGCGGAGTCTGCTGGCTTTACCTGGCATGACTGGGTCCCCAGGTCACTGCAACCCCTGCTCCCAGCAAATGATTGAACACTGCCCCTACAGGGTGGGAGTGCACAGGCTCCTGTGCATTCTTGTGGGCACTCTAGAACAAGCTGAGGTACCCCCTCTTCATGTGGGTGTGAGGAGGCACTTCTCGGGAAAGTCTACTGAGTTTGAGACTTAACTTGATGAATTAGAAGAGAATCCCTCGGAGTAGACAGCTGAGCAGCAGGACTGAACTGATCTCCCAGGCAGTGGATAAGCGTCTGAGTGATCCCAGAGGGCTGTGGCATTGGTAGAGCACCTGCCCCCCTTTTCACCTGAGAAAGGGGACAAAAACCCAAGAGCACCTTGATGTTCACCTTTCTTCCTAGCCATCTCATGAGTGAAGGAGAGATATGAGGAGGAGGGACTAGCGATGGACACACGGGTGCTTAGGGTGGTGTAGAGAACGGGCAGTTGAGGAATTTGGGGCAAGGTAGAAGAGATGTAGAGGAGACAAGGGTGGCAGAGCCCCTGGCTATGAGAACAGAACAGAGCATGACCTTGGAGGGTGCTGAGTGGATACCTGAGCAGAGTGTGCTGGAGAGATAGAGAGGGCACGTGTCAGCAGGAGATCGAGGGCAGGAGACTTCCCACTTTCATCCTGAGGGCAGCTGGGCAGATACACATTCCACTTACAGACGTTCTGTCCAAAGAGGATGCTGCTTGGAAGGACCAGGGCTCTGAATGGATGACTTTCATTTCAGTGGGATTCATCCCACCATGTGTGCCTTTGGCGGCTATACTGGGCAGCGGAGATGTAGAAAAAGTGGACCACCTGAGGTCCACAGCTGAGGATGAGGTCTTGGATAGGCCCAGTTGGGGAAATATAACTCAAGCCTGGCGTGAACTTGAGATGGGAGAGATGGAGCTTAATGTCCGGTGTATTTAACACATGATACCTGAAACATTTCAGCACGCAACAGATGTGTTCATGAAGCATCATGACACATGCCAGCCTTCTCTTTTCACACTAAGGCTTCCCGGTCTGGTGTATTGTAGACTCTGCATACCATAGTTTGGACCTGGCCAGTGTTCTCTAGCCATGTGAGCCTAGGGCCATCAGTTTGTACTGCATAGGTTCCAAAAGGCTGGTCTAGAGTCAGCGTTGATGGGGCGGGGGGCGGGGGCTGAGCTAGGGGAGCTTTGCAGAGTCAGTGCAGTGCTAGGCGGGGTTGTGTGGAAGTCCCATGTTGCTGTAGTGCTCTGTGTGTGCTGCTGGCCCAGGCCGCAGAGAATCTGTCAAGCCCCAGAGGGTAGCTGCTGTGACTGGGCCACAGCACAAATACCCACAAGTGACTAGTGACTGCTACACTGTACGGAAAGGTTCTAGATGACGTCAGGGCTATAGAGTAAGACCTGATGGACACAGGACGTGGTAGAAGCTGGACAAGAACCCAAGAGGATTCAGGATGTGGGGCAGGGGTATTGGCTGAGAAGTCCAGAGAACAAGGAGGAAAAGCAGGGTGTTGTGGGCATAAGGACAGGGGTTGAGAGACCCATGTGAGATACCCAAACTGATTAGCCAAGACAGGCAGGGAGAAAGACAGTTGGGAGGTGAGAGAAGGTGAGGAGAGGGCATCAGGTCAAAGGAAGCAGATGGGCCCACAGTGGAAGGATAGAGAGGATGCTCAAGGATAGTCAGGACATGATTTGGGGGATACAGGGCTTACATGGGGTGACAGGAGAGGCAAGGAGAGAAAGGACTAGAAGGGTGGTGTGAGGTTGGATAGGAAAGTCAAAAGACCTTCCTTATAGGTGGCTTCGTATCATTTAAAGTGATGGACTGGAAAGCCTGTCTGCCAGTGCCCTCTTCCATGCACTGGCTGTTGCCCTGGCTTCAGTCCTGTGTGGTGCAAGCCTGGGTGGGCTAGGTCTGGTGGCCTGTTCTCATCTTGATGGTGTGTTTCTCTCCCTCTGTTGTCTGAGGTTGAGTCTTCACCCTCCATTCCACCTCCCCGGCCCAAGAGTGGAGAGGAAGGCCTGCAAGAACCTGCTCTGGCTGGGTGGAGCCCCCTTCCACTCCAGCCCCTTTGAGAGCATGCAGGCTCTGTGGAGGGAGGAGTGAACCCTGTCCTGTGTACTTGCCTCGCCCCTAGTGTGGATGTTACTCTTCAGGAAGAGACAGTCCTTTGAGCCCTGCTCCTGCCTTTGCTTTTTCTAGCATGTGATCCGGGGGAATCGTCCAATCAAAACAGAGATGGCCCATCAGCTCTATGTCCTTCAGGTCCTGACCTTTAACCTTCTGGAAGAAAGAATGATGACTAAGATGGATCCCAATGACCAGGCAGGTGCTAGGGGCCTTCCTGGTGTAAGTTATGCTATTTCTTCTTGACTGTGATCATTCCACCCTCTGTGTGCTGGGAATGCTGCGTGAAGTGGTCTGTGTCGATTCTGTCAACGCTAGTGTGGGCTGCATCTTCTGAGGACTTGGGACAAAGCCCTCTTCTGTCCTGTACATTGCTGGTCCCTCCCAAGAGACTGGCTGTTCTCTTTCTTGCTCCCTTTGGTAGCTGATTGACCTACCTACTGTGTACACCTCCCAGGCTCAAAGAGACATTATATTTGAACTGCGGAGGATTGCCTTCGACGCAGAGTCCGACCCTAGCAGTGTTCCTGGGAGTGGGACTGAAAAGCGCAAGGCCATGTATACCAAGGACTATAAAATGCTGGGGTTTACTGTAAGTATCCTGGGTGCCCCCTCCTAGACAGGAAGTCAGGAGGCCTTCAGTTCCCATAGTGGTAGCCCTGGAGGAGTAGACAGAAAGAGGTGAGGACCTGTGTGTTCAGTTCGCCTTGGCCATGGCCACTCAGTGGGCGTACATCATCTGGGCATGCAAATCAGATCCTTTAGTTACAGGTCCAGGAAGCCAGCCTCAGCAGAGGGGAGGGGACCATGTACCTAGTGGTTCTAGCTGTGGTGGTCTCTTCTCACCTTAATGGGACGCCTCCTCCTCTCTGGTATTGAGATTTAGCTTCTGTCCTCCGCCTCCCTGCTCCCCTGTCCTACAGTGGAGAGGGAGGGATGGCACCCATAGTCTGTGTGAATCAACTTGCTTTTCATAAAGTTAGAGTGACCGTAGTCTGGTTCAGCACAACTCAGCTGCAAGTGGGTTTGGTTTAACTACACTGTGTACATACTCGGTGCTGGCCTGCTAGCTGCTGGGGTGGATGACAAGTCAGCCTTAGCCTGGTGTTTGAACATGCTAGGGTGGAGCTGAGAGAAAGGGAGGGCAGGAGGAGGCCCTCAGGTTGCTCCACACATTCCTTGTTTACACCTGGTCTCCTGCTTTCTCCAGAACCATATCAACCCAGCCTTGGACTTCACCCAGACTCCTCCTGGAATGTTGGCTTTGGACAACATGTTGTACCTGGCTAAAGTTCACCAGGACACCTACATTCGGGTAAAGGCAGGGCAGCCTCTCAGTCCTGGTGCCCATCCATGCCTTCCTCCCCCCAATTCCCATTCCTTCTCTGCTTGTAGATTGTGTTGGAGAACAGTAGCCGGGAGGATAAACACGAGTGTCCATTCGGCCGCAGTGCCATTGAGCTCACCAAGATGCTCTGTGAGATCCTGCAGGTTGGAGAGCTCCGTAAGTCTGCTCTCCTCCTTCTCTGCCAGCCAGCGTCCAGCTAGAGATGGTGGACAGCTAGATGTTGGGGACTGGAGGGCTGCAGGCAGGGACCATTTGTTCTTAATTGCTCCATGAGCTTATCATCCATTTTACCAGTTCGTGGCGATCATGGCTGCTGTTTTGTCTGAGCTCCTGTCTGTGGTGATCATGGCTGCTGCTTTGTCTGAGCTAGTCATCTGAGGTGTCTCTTAAGCCCCCAAGTACTGTGTAAAGACTAGCTGAGTTTGTAACCAGGTGGAGAGAGACCAAGGGAGAAAACACCTAGGGAGAGCTAAGGCCTTGAGGGAAGGCCTTTCCTGTTCCTTGATGTGCTATAGTCTGTGGTCTGTGTCCCTTGTCCTCAGGACTTGGTGCAGAGAATCCAGCGTTTCTAGATGGGTGCCCCTGGGTGCCTGAGGGCAGGGCCTTCATGCTTTTGGTTTTTCTCCACAGCAAATGAAGGGCGCAATGACTACCATCCTATGTTCTTCACCCATGACCGCGCCTTTGAAGAGCTCTTTGGAATCTGCATCCAGTTGCTGAACAAGACCTGGAAGGAGATGAGGGCGACAGCCGAGGATTTCAACAAGGTCAGTGCTGCTGAACCACTCAGAGGCTGGGGAGGAAGACCATCACATGACAGTCCCTGACAGCCGGCAAGTGCCTGGGGAGTCCCTGAGCTGGAAAACCAGCTCTGTTGGCAGTGCTGCGTCACAAGGTCGAAGTGCTGGGAGCTTGGGTCTCAGCTGCTATGACTCCCTTTGTAACCTTGAGCAGACATCTTCCTCATGGTGCCCAAGACCTTCATTTGCCTGGGGAAGCTAACACCTGCCGCTGTTCTCCACAGGGGTCAGGGGAATGGCTGAGCAGGAGAGCTGTGCCTGTCATGGCTGCAATGTGGTAGATGAGATCCACGGACAGCCAGTGTCAGCAAGGCAGGAGAGCTGGCACGCTGTGCACATCACGGTGCCTATCAGGCCTTGGTGCTCTGAGTGCCCCAGTGTGGAGCGCCATGCTACACTCTCACAGGCCAGCATTCCAGGAGCCCAGTATTTTGAGACTAACCGTCTCATTGTGGAAATTTTAGAAGTGAGCTGGCCTGGTGGTGCGTGCCTGTGAGGCTGTGGGTCATAAATTCTAGGTCAGCCTGGTTTGCACAGCAAGACCCTGTCTCTACAAAGTAAAACTAAACAACAAACCTTATTTAGTGTAAAGAAAGAGTTGTCTATAAGACTGTGTGTGTGTGAGGGGGGGGTATGTGGGTATGTGTGGGTACTCGTGACTCCTTTCTGAGATTTTCTCCCCTCACTGGGTCATGCTGCTATACAATGAGAAGGAAAACACCCTGCTTTGTTCTCTGACAGTTGTTTTAGGGAAATGGGCACACTGTAATACCCTATCTGCTGGGCACCGTGCCCACCTTCCATGTAGCATCTAATGTTAACAGCATCGTGTATGCCTCTCTGTAGAGACAAGGGGTTGGAGTCTGAGCATGTTTAGTCTTAATGAAAGAATAGGTTTAAGAGCGTTCAAGAGTTGAGCCCAGGCCAAGCAGTTGTGGTACATGCCTTTAATTCCAATGCTCAGGAGGCAGAGGCAGGCATATCTCTGTAAGTTTGAGGCTAGCCTGGTCTACAGAGTAAGTTCCAGGACAGCCAGGGCTATCACACACACACACACACACACACACACACACACACACACACACACACACAAATCTCAAAGACACCAAAAAATGAAATAAAAAGAGTTGAGATCAGAACTGATTCCCTGCCACCATGGCTACATGATATGTGTGAGAAATAGAGCAAATGTCAGCATCAGTCACGTGACCTGACCTGAGAAGACATCCATTGGAAATCAGGACTCTATCCTGGGTGAGGGAGAGCCTTGGTCTCTAGAGGGCCTGCCCATTTTCAGAGTGGCCTTCTTATTTGCTCAGGTTATGCAAGTCGTCCGAGAACAGATCACCCGGGCTCTGCCTTCTAAACCCAACTCTTTGGATCAGTTCAAAAGTAAACTTCGCAGCCTGAGCTACTCAGAGATTCTGCGGTTGCGCCAGTCCGAGAGGATGAGCCAGGATGACTTTCAGTCCCCACCAATTGTGTAAGTGTTAACTGAGCAGGCCCGTGAGGGAGGTGACCTGCTACCAGCTCCGCCTCCGGAGCACCCACCGTCTCATGGTCTTCTACTGACTTGGGTGTGTGTGCCACAGG